ATGACCGAAAGCTCCCTAACGATCTCAGGATCAAGGTTGCTGTTTCGTGCTTGTCTTCTTTCAGCGGCATAGGAAGGATCAAATATATATAGCTGGACGTAGGAAGGCTCATTGCCTTCAACTGGAGTCAAGGGGCCTTGATGGTGGCAAAGTGCGCCATGGATCTGGAAGGCGTTTAATCCACCTCTATTGTTATTGTTGTTGTTGCTGCTGCTGCTGCTGTTGTTGTTGTTGTTGTTGTTGGCACGATCCTCAGGCGAAACAATATCGCAGCCCAACGAAGTAAAGGCAAAGGCAGCGTTGTACTGGCGAAGGTTGTCCTTAAAGTGACGGCCTTGAGTGTCCGTACGTTCGAGCAAGTTCTTCAAGTACTCAGGTGGATCAGGCAAGAGTTGCAACTGGGCTGATCCCTGCTTGCAGCATGACTCCCAGCTGGGATTTCTCATTGAAGATGTCTCTTGCCTTTCATTTACCCAGTGTAGGGCGTGACAGTGGGGACACTCCTTGTACATACGTCCAAGGTCCAAAGGACAAAGGCGGGATATCTGTGAGATGTATGCGGCTGGCATACTGTTGGTATGGTCAGATCTGGGTCTGTCTCTGGGTCTACTTTCAGCATCAACGGACTCAACTGTTCTTCTTGGTCTGCCTCTAGGTCTAGTAGCAACGCTAGCTTCTTCTTGTTGGTCTTCGGCAAGACGTCTGCGGCGAGATGCTGCTACTCGTTCTCTGCATGCTTGGCAGGTACGATGACGTGAATCAACGGGTAAAGGTGCATGGCAGGAAGAGCAGTTGGCTGTACTTTGGTTGTTGTTTTCCATTTTTCTAATAAGCGTCAAAATGGGAACACGATGTTAGTGAACAGGGACTATATATGAATTGGCCTTTTTATTCTCTTTTTCAAGGCATGTCCATACCTGATGCTTGTAAAAAGGGCTTTATTGTAATAATAATATAAAAATGAATATCAGGAGAGAGAGAGAGAGAAAAAGGGGAGAGCAAGCTCATATGATTGTGGTCCAAGGCTCGGTTCGAACAAATTGTAAAAAAAGACTCAGTGTGCGGTTAATTTCCGGTAAAAGTTTGTGTTACTTGCATATTTTCCGGCGTATTTTTTTTTTTCTAATTCCAGTACATATGTGTGTTAAGTGTGTTATAAATGTGTTATTCCTGCAAAATAGGAAAAAAAAAAAAAAAAAAGATAGTCATAGGAGCATATTATAATAATAATGATTGCTGATGGGATAAAATATTGAGTGCTATTGGCGCTGTAGCTGGGTATGGTGTTATATATTGACGTCTAGACTGAATACAGTTTTCAACATATTCGAATTGCTCAGGAGAGGAGGCCGATGAACTGGATGATGATGAGGGTGACATGGAAGGTGAAGGTGTTGTTTGTCTCATCTCGTTGCTTGATCTTTCTATTGATTTAATTCATGAATTTAGACAGTGTCAAGGCAATATAAATAATGTATTGTTTATACCTGAGGAAGGATTAACGTGATAATAGACATCATAATTATCGTTACGGGCAGAAGGGTGTGCGGCATACATAAAGTTGGTACTGTTATCTGTTAAAGAATAGCCGGAATTTTGTTTTAATCCGTTTCCATGCATGTAGTATGCTGGTATAACTGTTTGCATTGCAGCAGCAGGCAAAGGCTCCACGGAAGAAGGTGCCTGATGTGAGTACGTCATGTATGAAAAACTCGGGCCGGCAGCATTGTCATGTGAATAGTATCCACCATTATCATTATCATTAAACAACGCAGTAGTAGTAGCTTCGACTGCTGTAGGAGAGCTGGGAGCATTTACAGGAGGATTGCTTGTGCTACCTTCGTAATGGCATAAGTTATAGTAATCTTGATGTTGCCAGGGCGCGTCTACTGAGATGGGTGATTGATCTTTTAGAGAACAGCGTCTTTGATCTTTTTCAGCATGCGCCAAAAATGCCACATCATTAGAGTATGGAAAGTTATTCTTTTGTGCGTAGAGCTCATGTGCGTTCATTATACACTTTGGTTGCTCTTTTGTCAGAGCATGCATACTCTGGTATGTTGGAGAGCCTGAATCATAGTAAGTGTCAAAGGGAAGAGAGCTCTGTTGGTTACCATTTCTTCGAGCTATACAGAAAGGGCAATGGCGAACAAATCGTGCGATCAGCTCCTTGGGTATCCATGAGTACCTTCTTCGAACCTATTGTGTGATTTATTTTTAGTAAAAGTACATTTTCTGTAGAGCAAAAATAGAACACATACCAAAGCAGAAGTCTTATCTCTTCCTCCATGATGAGCTTCGCGATGTGCATGTACCAATATTCCATAAATCTCTTCTCGTGTGGCCACTGGCTTACCATCATGGCAAACAACTTGCTTGGCATGTAATTGAAACATCTTTTTTACCCAAAATCGAAATTGTGCTGTAGATATGGCAGTATTTCTTGGATCCTTTAATACTTGTAAAATCATAACATAGCGATTTCGATCAATAAGGGCTTTATCTCTTTTCTTGGATGATAGATTTTTCAAGTAATCTTGAATAATGATTTCAAATTCTTCAAAGGAGGGATATTGATCATAATCGTTTAGGTGGGGCATAGCGTAACTTGGGTAGTATGTATCAGAGACCTCAGAATGAGTCATAGGCTGGGACATGAGTATTGACTGATGACTGTCTTGGTGTCTACTTGCTTGGTATTTATAATCTTTATGATGATGATCCATCGCACTTGGTTTGTCTGCAAAAGTGATGAACCCTTGAAGTAAAAAATAAGGTACAAGTGTTTGCGATAATGTACAAAGTTGAACTTGGGTTTTTATACTTTACAAATAACTTAAAGTAACTAGTACACAAAGAAAAAGTAAAGAAAAAGAAATGAATTGCGTACTTGTGAAATAGTACACGTATATATGTATGTATATTTAAACAAATTTGTAGAATACCTAAAAAAGTAAAGGAACAAAAGGGGCAAAGTATGTTCCCTCGTTTAGAATGATAAATAAAAAGGATATGCCTGGTCCCTCTAAAATGAACCCTCTATAGTAAGTAGTACGGCATGATTAAGGAGTAAGCCTTTAGCAAATGGTGACGGCAGTCTTGAAGGCATGATAGCTTATAGATATTAGTAAAAAGCAAATAGAGATACCTATGCTTGTTCTTATACATATGACCAATTTCAAAAGATAACAGGTCCAGTAGTAGAGAGCCATACGCGAACATTAGCTTATTAGCAACGATACGTCTAACCAAAAACCAGACGTTGCTCCATCCCTGTAAGAATTAATTGACGCCTTCTTTTATTAAAGAGCGGATCCAGGAACGCAGCTTAAGATACACATGAATGCAAGAACTTCATTGAATGAGACACATTGCTTATGCTATAGTCACTTTATAAAGTTGTATTAGCACGGGCTTTATGCTGGTGTCTGTGCATTGTTGTTCATGTATGTTTTTGGGATGCATTGTCATGATATATGTAACTCAAAGAGGAGAATGCCAGTGTAGGAATATGCTTATTCTTATTAATGTAACGAATTTATTAGTTCGGTTCATCTGTTGGTTATACTCTTGAGACCCACCCGTTTCCTAATACCGAATAGATCGTTTTTCCTCTTCAGTTAGAGCATCCCCCATTTTAGGACGCATGTTTGGTCTTTATTTCAATACTTGCATCAGTAACTAAGCTCTTCCCTTTTTACGCTATGATTTCTTATCATGAACTAACTTCAATCAGTTTAGTTTGGTAAAACAAAGGCACCAGTTTTCTATATGATATGTGTCAACGCTGTTCTGTTTATGTTAAAGGCAGGGTGTATCTGCAGCATTGTTGACTAACTTTATGCAAGCGTCTAGAATATAAAGATGCAGGGACTATTCATCAATCGAAAATCAAAGCTTTGCGCATTATCCTTGCATGAAAACCTGAATTTTATGAATAAGAAGAAATTCTCAGAAATATAATAGGATGATTTATGAAGAATCCTTAAATCATTCGCTTTTGTTTTTCAATACACATAAATTAAAAGGACATCACATGCATTGACTGCGATGTTGAACTTGTCTATTTCTGACTTGCATTCTACTTATTTGGTAAACAGTTTCTATTATTGCAGGCATGAATAGAGTAATAATAGAAAACTTAGATATGCAAATGTCACTTCTAAGCACACAAAGCATGTAGCTGAATAAAGCAACTGTCTCAATCCCCACTCATTGTCAGCTGATAGGTAAATCTTCCAAGTATTCCTATGACAATGAGTAACACCATGACCATATATGGGCGATTAACAAAAGTCCCAAAAGCATATTTGAAAAGAATGTAAACCGGTAACAAAACTGTTTTTCTTCATGAGGCAGCGTTTCATATTAATATGAAGGGAGCTCCTGCAATCGTTACAATGTGACTAAAACGAAGCTTATGAAAAGATAAATAAATAGAAAAGTAATATTAACAAATGATTTTTATTGGATGAAATCTTCGCAAGATTTGTCCGAAGGGTAAATGCCTTCCGATTTATTCATATTTTTTGTCAACCTGTGAATATAGAAGTGGTTGAAGAAGCTATAGACACGCTAAAACTTACCTTTTACTTAATGCAAACAATTACGTCGTTTTAATGTTCATGATAGCGAAGGTGACGGCAAGCCTGAAACCGTTTCTCTCTCTAGTGAACCAGCATCGCACACACGCCTATCTTTGTCTGTTTAGCCGCCAGACCAAGATCGTTTCTTTATTGGCGGTGTGGATGTGTCTGAGAAAATTTTCAATCTCAGAAGGTCAACATACAGGATTTTAGTCTTAATTGATACGACTTGTAAATAAATTCGAGACACTATTTTTTTTTTTGGGACAATTTGAAAATAGAAAGTGGGACGGGTTACTTTTTTTTTTTGGGATTAAATGCAATAAGTTTTTAGACAATTTACATTTTTTTTTTT